TCCGGCTGCGGCTCCGCCGAGGGGAAGCCGTGCGGTGCCCGCCGTCGGGGGCCTCCGTGCTTCACTGTCCGGGAAACTTCAGGCACTTGCCGGGCAGCATCCACCCCCTGCCCCGAGGGGCCGCTTCGGTGAAGGAAAGTGGTCTCTCGCACACCAGCAGGATGGCGCGGACCATGAGACCCGACGACATCAACCCCCGGACGGGGCTGGTGGTGGCTCTGGTCAGCGTCTTCCTGGTGTTTGGCTTCATGTTCACCGTGTCCGGCATCAAGGGAGAGACCCTGGGGGACATCCCACTGCTGGCCATCGGGCCGGCCATCTGCCTGCCGGGCATCGCCGCCATCGCCCTCACCAGAAAGACCGACGGCTGCACCAAATGGCCCAAGAACAAGTGTCCGTGCTGCAAGCAAGTCAAGGACCGGGATGTCATGGAGCTGCTGAGGACCCCCTCGGACCTGGAGTCTGGCAAGGGGAGTTGCAACGAGCTGGCCAAGAAAGCATACCAGAAGGACAGGAGGGTGCTGCGGGGCGAGGACTCAGTGTCCATCTGCACCACCACCACCACTACCACCACCATGGGAGAGTGCAAGAGCCTCATCAGAAAGGTGGAGCAGGAGGAGATGCTGAGGTACCTGGAGACCTGTTACCCAGAGATGCCGGGGAATGTGTTCGTGGGAGATGGCTCCATGTACAGTGCCTTGGAGAAGAGCTCTTCTCCCACCAGGGACAGTGCTGCTTGCCCTGACATTGAAGACAACATTTTTGTTGCTCCTAAAGACAGTATCATCATCTGCTCTTACAAGGAGAACAGCCCTTATGACAGATACTGTTGTTACATAAACCCTACTGGAGTCAACTCAGACCAGGAGACCATAGTGTGAAAGATGCATACTTTATATATATGTATGTATACAAAAACTACAGCTTCAACTTCTTGATAGGGGATAATATAGCTGACTGCACTGCATGGGACAATCCCGATACTATTACAATTTAACCTGGTATGTGACTGATACTCAAACCTTTTGTGCCTGAAATACTCTTTCTGTAAGTAAACAAGCATGTTTAAAGGTTAAAGAATTCAATTCTTCATTTTGGAAAAAAGAAATTACATTTTAATTTTATTTTCTCCCTTTCCCTCCCTTTTGTTTTCCTGCTGCCTATTGTATCCGAGCCTGTAGACACACTGGCAGGAGGGCAGCAGTGGCTGTAAGCAGAGATTAAGAACTGAATCAAAACTCTGGAGCTGTCTGCAGGAAAGAATGTGGTGCTCTATGGCTGAATGGGTCTTAGCAAAGGCATCACTTCATTTTGGGAGGGATTGAGAGATGTCAGCGTGCACTCCAATAGCTGGCTGATGTTAGGGAGCGTAGAAGTGATTTGTCTTTCTTCCTTCTTCTTTCTGTCAGGATTTTATTTTCCTCTGCTTCAACGAATTGATGTGCTGACCCTGTGGACTCTTCCAAAAGCCGGATAGGCTCAGGGGAGTTTTCAAAGGCTAATCCATCATCAATAGCATGCAAGGTACAGGTTTTAGCTTCATTCCCCACTGGTATTGAGTTCACTAGAATGTTTCTAACACTTTTGGATTTTATAGGCATACTTGACAAGGAGATTACAACATGATCATGACACAGTTCTTGCAGAGACTAGGAGCAGATGTCAGTGGTCTCAGGTCTTAAAGATATATTTCAGTACCTTTAAAGTTGCTTAAGGAATTGACTTCTATGGGTTGTGTTCAGAGCTGGATCTGACTCTTCTGAAAATATCATTTTCATGTGCCTTTTCTAAAATGCCAGATGTTTCTCTACAGGTGGTGAATGGTTACAGTCCACTCAGGGGTCTCAAAGCCGTGCTTCGCTGGGGGGAGGGAACAGAGGACCTGGCTGACAGATGTGTTTGTTCACAGTTTATGGATACATAGCAAGAGAAATATGAACTGAGTAATGAGGATTAACCATTCAAAATCTGAGCCTGCAGCTTTCATACAAAACGCAAATCCTGGCTATTCTGCCCAACAGTAAATTGCATGTTCCATGCTGTGTATAAAAATCTTACCTGGCCTCTACTATGTGGGTAACAGAGATGTGGTATAATAAGATGTGCATGTTAAGCAGCTACTCTAAGGGTTAAGCTCTTAGGGTCATGGTTACTACAGCATAGAGTAATTTGCTAGTGTCTCACGAAGTCCCAGTTCCTATAACTAAATGCTTACAACTCCAAAAAGTTCCTCTGTGATGGAAGTCTTAATAACTGTTCTTACTTAGCTGTTTTCTGTCAACCATAAGTTGCACTGAACAAAATGTATTGAATTACCAGGGTAGGAAAGAAGAATAATGGCCTTTCTTTTGTAGCAAACTGAGATGTTGTGTAGAAAGTGGCAAGGAATTTTCCACTGAAATGAGCTATTCTTTGCTGCCCATGGAATAGTTTGGAAAGTAAATGGAAACTTTATGCATCCACCAGTTTGTTTGTCTGGAAACTTACATCAAATAGTTACAGACAACCAGTCTCTGAAGAGGTTTCCAGAAGGAGGAAATACATTTTTTTACACAAGATAGTTTGGTTTCTTTCAGACCAAACAAGTTGTTAACGCTTTGGCCAGCCTTTGGTGGGGCATCAGGATGCTACTGGGATAAATTCAAAAAATACTAGCTAGTTTGAGTCGGGTAAAGCCTCTCAATAAGTGGTTACAGGCAGCTTTGGTGCTCTGGCATGCAGCAACAGTACTGGGGGAATAAACAAACACTTATACTCTGTACAGCCCAAGTTTTAACCACTGAGCAAAGGAATTCCACAAAAACAGACCATCTCCCTGGTGTGTTCAACTCCCACTTCCACAAAAAAGCACTCTGTTGTTGTCAGGCAGATAGTCTCCTGCAGGCTTAGTCGCTGCAGGACCTTATTCTGCAATGTACAGAGCAGCTTTTTGATAGCTGCTGGGAAGTCTTATTTCATGACCTCTGAAGCCAACAGCTAAAATACTGCTAATGAACATGACAAGGAATAGGGTCTTTCATCGCATTCTGTTCCCAAGGGAAGCAGGCGAGGGTCTCAGCGTGTGCCCATGGGTGCTCAGCACCCCTGGAGATCGGACACACCATGAGAAAACAGGCTACCAGGTAGCTGCATACTGCCTTTGCCGGGGTTGTGAGCAATCGCTTGCCTTGCATAAGAGAGCAAAGCGTCAGCCCGCTGGGAACCTAGATTTGTACAGTTCTGCAAATATATATAGGAAGAGATCAAGTTTTTCCATTTTGTCTAGGATTATATGTTCTCTGTCAAAAGTTATACGAGGTTTTATAAGGCAAGACAGCAAACTCTAGTGACAAATGGAATGGTAAATATATAATTTGAGATACAACCATGCAGATCTGAGTCATGTGCTTTATTCCATTCTTAGTGTAAAAACAAGAGAATGCTCGTATTAAAGCAAAGTTTAATGGGAGTGAAAATTTCCCACAATATAGAAAGAGATATAAAAAAAGTATGTTTAAAACATGATATTTATAGGCAATGTCCTTCCTCCGTTCATTTAGCTGAGGTGATGGAGATGAGAGCTTCTTTCTGTCCCTGCTACCTTTAGAACACCTCTGGTTCTCTCCTCAATGCTACCCTCCAAACAGTGCATGCAGTTGTAGTGGAGCTCTCTTTGTGGGGTTAATGCCTGGTCTCATTGAAGTCAATTGCCACATATTGCATGGTCCTACAGTATGGGTGGCAGGGCATATATTAGCATTTGAAGAAAACCAATGATTTGGACATTGAGAGAAGGTTCCTAAGATATATAAAATGTATTTTTAGAGTAGCATTTGTCATAGTGCTACAGTGGAGTTTACCTTCGTTTAAGAAACAATGTGATACACAGATCAATTGTACACAGGGCAATTTTGTGTTGCTTTGTTTAAATTTCTGTTGTCATAAATAGCATTTTTACGGTCATACAAGCTGATCATTGCAAAGCCTTTAACAGAAAATTGGGAGTTTTAATCAGTGTGCAGTTTGTCCTTCTGGAGCACTAAACAATAGCTGGTCCTGTCTGCTTGGAACCGAACGAGTGGGAGGTGAGCGTGCTCAGGGTGTGCGTCCCTTGGGACCACATGTATTTGTATTCTTGGTCTGCATTCTGCAGAAATGTGGTGCTCTTCCACAGGCAGCTCCTCCCCATCTGATCCAACCTCTCCACAGTCCTGGCTCCAGTAACTATTTATTATGTCGTAATTAGCAGAGTAACAGCCACTATGACCCCCTCTCAGCATTTCTCCTGGTACGTACCAGACTCTTTGCAGAATGAGCTCCTGCTCTTGACCATGGTGGTAGAATCTGACCCTGCATCATCCATCCCATGTAAGCTGTTATGTTGAGACGTCCAACTAAATGGTCAGTTCTTGCAGCACAGGCCTGGGATTTTGCGTATCTATATAATACCTTTCACTGTACTGTACAGGTGCTGTAGAGATGGGTTAGAGATGGGTGACTGTCAGGCCTCAAAGGCACTTCCAGCCTGATTTTCATGAGCATTTAGGGACTGATCTATTTATATGCAGAACACAATCTGCACTCAGAAACCTGAATCTCAACACATTGCCAGTAAAGCCATATTGCAAGAGAATGCAGTTCTGACATGGGAGATTTTCTGAGTCTTGAAAGGTTTCTGTGTAAGTTTCTAATATCAATCATATTAAAACTTGTAGAGGAGTTTCCTAATACGTAGACTAGAGGAGTTTTCTTGACACATTCTTAACACACAGTGTGGGGCATCAGCTGCAAAGCAGCTCATGCTGAGCCCATTCCTACTCTGCAGCCCGTCTGAACATGCAATCCCTACTGGGATGACAGCCGGCAGGTTTGTTACTTCTCTGGTACTATGGGCCCTTTTATGTCTGGTCTTTAGAAACAACGCAGAGAGCAGATCTAGAATTCACTTATAATGCTCTCTGGCAAACCTTCATCAGTAAGCATTACCTTTAATTTATCAGTCCTCTCAGTGGAGGAATTCCAGACCCTGTATGTCTTTACTAGGCAAGGAGATCCAGCTATCATTGTTTTTTAAATCACGGTTTATTTTCTGTTCAGAACAGTTGCACGGATTAGCCCTGACTATCCTATTGTCAGATGAACACAGAAGTGTTTTATGCTTAATGTTTTTACTTAGGAACATTGCACCATGCATAGGTGTATATACATTACACATTTGTTTGCAAGAGCAGGTCACAGAATGCACAAGCATAGCAACATAGTAATTTGAGATCTGCTTAGAGGACCTCTCTGTCTTTCCCATACCTCACCCAAATTTTCTGCTTCAAGCCTATTGTTGCAATTTAAAATGCCTTCCGTCCTTTAGGAGACGAAAATTTTTCTAAGAACTCCGTTGTGGCTCTTTATGGACACACAGTTCTTCCAACAGGATACACAGAGTTTAAATGTCCCAGGACTGTGTTTCATTATAAACCCTGTGAAATCCTGGCTCCGTTAGCAATCACAAACTGAAATTTTCCAGTGCTTTGCATTCAGCGTTTCCCCAAACCATTGGTAAAAGCCTTGAACCCTTGGTCAATTCTGACAGATTCAGTACTAGTATTTTTTCAGCCTACAGTTTCATTACTTAAGGAGTGGAAAAGGGTTAAATACTTTGAAAATCTGGTTCTGCACTTTGTTCTAGTGAGGCAAGAACAAAAAAAGAGGTATTATTCATAAAAGCAAAAGAGACCAAAAAGGCTTCACAGACAGTATTTCATTACTTTGTTAGATTAACTGTTTTATACTCTGGTCACATAGGCAATATTTTTAGTGCATTCTTCCATATGTGTAGTTTCTCTTTGGTAGCTTACCCTGAACAGGCTCCCCAGGTACGGACAGAGAGTGTTTTTCTGCCTGCAGG